GCTTTAGTAATAGCAATAGCAGTTAGACTTATATACTGCTTCATAGGGCTTTCAACCCTCTCTAAGCGGTTTACAGAGTCAGCATATTGCCCCCACAATCTGGGTCCTCATTTTACCCACCTCGGAAGGATGGAAGGCTGAGTCAACCTTGAGCCAGTGAGATTTGAACTGCCAAACTGCAGATAGCAGTCAGCTGAAGTGGCCTGCAGTACTGCACTCAACCCACTGCACCACCTCGGCTTTGTTACCCTGACACAACAAACTTTGTTATGATACATATTAACTCATCTTCATAGCCTTTGATATAAATAAGACATTCTTTAAACATCAAGTAGGTAACTTGGAATGAAAGTATTTATCTGCTGTTAGAGTTAGCCCAATTATAGACATGTTTATGGTCAATTTAGTTACAGTTATAAATTGATGTGTGGAATTGATATCTTTAATTCCATAGAATAATGAAAATTAAGAATTCAGTCTAAGACCCTTCTCTGATTAGTTTAAAGAGCAAATACATGGATTGTTTCTCATGTATTATGAGAGATCTATTTGTCTTTGAGACATATTGCAAATTTTCAAAATCTCCCAAGAATAATATTTGATGGGAATATTTCCTTCAACTAGTGTACCAGCATAATACAATGTTCCACAAGTTTATTCACATCATGTGGGTGTCTATTGGGTACTTATGAAATCCTTTGTGAGTTTATACAGCTTCGTAAAAAAACGAATCAAAGCAAGTAATAAGAATGCTCTCCTTCCTCTAGCAGGATATAACTATCTTCTTACTAATCCTTCCTACAGAAAAGCAACCAAGTAGAAAATCCATTCTGTTTAAGTGTAGTATCTAGACTGGTAAATTTATGTGCTTTCTAAATAAAATTTTGGTAAATTGATGATTACCATCAGTTCTTCTTACGTTTAGTGTGACGATAAGTAGTATTAAGCAGGTTTCCCCCCTCCTCTAGTTGTGTTGGTGATGTGCGTGGTATTTACCCATACTTGTGTTTACTGAAGAACCAAGTTCTAAATTTTAACTGGAAGCTTGTGGCTGAAGTGGAAGCACTTGTATAGAGGACTTATGAAGTCATTTCCAGAGCAGCTGCTGATTGCAAGAGTTATATTCAGGGAGCTGTTGATTTTCCATCGTGGGTAGGATCACTGCTTCCTGATAAGTAAGCAACGACTGAACAGAAGGCAGGCAGTTTCTAGAGAGCAAGTAAATTTAGCAAGCAAAATTTTCCTGAGCCAGTGGTGTCTATTTGGGTAGGCAGAGAGCCTGAGGGAGAAAGAAGAAGAAATAAAAGACTTTCTATGAAAACGAATGGACAGGAACCAGTATTTGTGATTTTCAATGCTTATGGCATGTTTGTGTTTCTGCTTAAAAAGATCTTGCATGCATTTACAAAAATACAGAATTGTGGTAACTCTTGTGACATTTTTCAGCTTATGACAGATGACAAAGACTTATCAAAGTCTTAACCAAGAAATGAAACATTCTAGTAGGAATGGTCATGGAAAAATAGCTGTCCATAAAATACGCAAAGAAACAAGTCAAATGGACACAAATGGAAGCCTGAAGTAAGCTACTGTATACCACTAGACCTCAGAAACAAGACTTTAGTGTGGAAAAAAAGGCATAATTGAACTGGAAGTGGTAGATGCCTGAAAGAGGTAGAGAGCTGCAGCTGTTGGTTGTAAAAAAGGGGGAAAGAAGCTAGTGACTTACTACTATGAGGATTCTAAAAAATGTGTGTCAGCTCATGTGGTCTGTGTGGAACACCAAGTATTATCAAGCCTGCTTACAATTATCCTTCATGTGAGAACAGTTCATCCTGCAAAGAATTGCTACAAGTTCTTATAAATAAATCATTCCATTTCCATTAAATGTGAAAGCTTTCCACATCTGTAAGGCTGCAGTTTATAAGCAAATATGGCCTATACCTGCAAATAAGATTTTACAGATAAGAACAATTAATGGAAATATATCTTTAAGGAATTGTTACAAATTATGCAAGTACTAGAAATAAAAACACATTTTGTGACAGGATTACCTCCATGTAAATGAGATAAAAGAAAGAGTAATACCAGTAATACCAAAGATTTTGATTTGTTTTGGTTTGGTTTGTAAAATCAACTCATGTTCAAAAAACTTATTTTCTACTTATTGTGGTTGACATGTATGAAAAATGCTGTGAACAGGAATGGGAAAAGAGAACTCACTGGACACCATTTGTATAATAATAGTTATAAAATATAGGCACCAGCATACAGAGAAAGAAGAGAAAAGGAGAGAAAGTCTTCAAGATGATGGTAAAAGCAGGTGGGAAGATAACTTGCCATTAATCAATTCCTGTTGAAAGCCAAGTTGAGGAAAGGCAAGTGTGAATGCCTGATTTAGGTCTTGCTGTTTATTCAGTGTCTAGAGAATAAAGAGAAGTTTTCCTGTTCCCACTTTCTCAATTCTGCAGACTTTATTTTGATGAAAGAATGCATTCTTCCTTCCTTATCAGAATGTTTTGTTAAAAGATGGTTTACTGCTTCAGTGGTTTCTGAATCCAAATGTTTAACTAATTCCCACCAGCTCTTTGGTGTGGCTTTATTTTTTATTTATTTTTAATTTAAAAAAAATATATACTTAGTATTATGTAAATAAGATTATGGCATGCCCATGTCATAGCCACTTCCAGCTAAGCCATTAAAGTTAGATCTTGATACTGATTTTTGGAAATGTCAATAAGAAAATAAGGTGAAAGAATTTGTTTTTAGAGCTTCTAGTTTTATACTCAACCTTTTCGATGGTGTACTTGGTTACATTCAAATTTCAATAATATAAGAACTACAGCAGTGTTGTTTAACACGAGAGAAATAGATTTTAGGTTAATTGTTCACCATTTCTTTTTAGCATTGAGAACTTCGGACATATTTGTTCTATCTGTTTTGGTGTTTTTTTTCAAATTTTGTTCATAAATTGAAATCGGTGTAAGTTTTGAATTTTTAATTCCACTTTTAATATTGTTATAAATAACTCAAGGTTGCAAACATATCTAATACTCCTCCCTCCTCCTATTTTCCCCGAAGCAACAATCCTGTGAGGTGAGTTGGGTTGAGAGAGAGCGATTGACCCAAAGTCACCTAACCGGCTTTCATTCCAACGGCAGGACTAGAACTCACAGTTTCCTGGTTTCTAGTCTGGTACCTTAACTACTAAATCAAACATGACATATTATATCAGCCATTACATACATCAGACATATTCGGTTAGTTATCCCTGTTTCCTAAAGGATAAATGCTACAAAATATTGATGAGAAAGATGTTTCATAAGCAATGTCCTTTTGTCATGTACTTTTTCTGAGAGCTGTTACAAAATTGCCTTCCTTTTTGATTATTTAGGTCCATGTTTGCTTGTGTACTTCCCTTTTAATAATTCTTTTCAGGTGCTTTTGCAACCAATAAGAGGTGAAAAGTAGCATTGTTCCACATTTTAAAAGTCCATTCACTTACAATTCTTTTATAGCGCTGGATAAATAGAAACTGAGGTGGGAAGGGCATTTTTTTTTCCTTTTTCCTTTGTGTAAAAAAAGTACTTAAATCTTTGAGAGAGCGGATGTGTGTTTCTGAAGTGGAAAGATAACCCTCCTCTCTACTTCAATATGTTAGAAACAGACACAGATCTGAGATATAAATACAGTGGATGCAAATCTAATTCCCTTGGGCTTGGCTTAATGTCCTATAGGATGGAAGGCTGGGGCCACCTCTTACAGCATTATCTGGGTCACTTCTTTGTCTCCTCTCTCGTTTTGGAATAGCAAGCATAGCAATTCCTTCTTCCATCATCTATCTTTCAAGGGGCATGTCACATCTCTCCATCAGCTGAGTAAAGTACAGTGTCTAGAGGATTCAATCCTTTCTCTCTGAGAGATAGGCCAATTTCAAAAGAAATAAACAGCAGCACAGTTTATTTTTTTCCAAAAAAAGGTAAAAAAGTACTTTCCTTTAACTTTAAATATCCAAATGCCAAACAGTCAGTGCTGAAGAAAATAAAATACAGAACCGCCTAGTCTACCATACAGTTGGCAAATTCAGATTTTAAAGAACTTCAAAGAAAACCCAAAGCTCCAGAGATCAGTGTAGGATTGATATGTTTTTGATTTCCCCATGACTACATTTGAATTGATATTATAAAGTGTAATATATCTGCACATGTAAAAGGCTATGGTATAATTTCAACATTTCCAAATAGAATAGATTTAACCAATTTTAGATTATTACGATTTGGCTTCAGAATGTGATACTCTATTTTTGGGGGGTGGAGATCCAGAGGATTAAGAGGAACTTCATTGTTTAGAAAGGGAACAGAATTCTAGTTTCAGTGCTCATTCTGAACTATTACTCTGTGCCTTATCTTAGACTCTGTGCCTTATCTTAGTTCTCTGAAGCATATTTCCAAAGATGTAGAGGAAAGAAAGAAAAAACTGTAAAATTCAACTCTTTCTCACTTCAAACCTTAAAAATCATCCTGTATGAAATTTCATTTTTAAAAAAATTATTCTAAAACAACTTTTGTACTAATGATTTATATGATTGCTGATCTTGTGATATAAATATCCAACCCAATGTTCTAAAAAGAAAAAGAAAATGCTTATTTAAGCCCAGTCTTTGAAACATAAATATTTTGGCATAAATGCACATGATGCAATATAAAGATGTTAATACATGTAAGGTACTGGGCAAATGATTCCTTTTGATTTATTTCTTTAAAAAAACATTTGAGTTTGGGATGTATATTGTTTTTTTATTACAATATAGCCCAAAGTGATTACATTAGTGTAACAGGTAAGTTTTTATTTTACAAAATATAGAGTTTTGGCAATTTGGTTTTGGCAATAATTTCTGCAAACCAGAGCATATGTTTAAAATTTATGTTGTTAACGATTATACCATATGAATAACAACAAAGTTAAATTAATGAGTGGAAATTTTCTTTTTTTTCTTACAGATTTGGGATATAAGTGATGATGAAACACTCTGAAAATCTAATGAGTGAAGTAAAAGACGACCAACAAGCCAACTTATTTTAGGGTTCTGTGGATGTATTTTTATCAGTCATTTAATGATTGCTTCCTTAAATTTATTGCAAACATAAACATGTTCAGTCTACATCTTTGATCAAGATGGCACACTGTAACAGTTTCAAAGCAAACATACTGTGGTTGCTCTTTTTATTGTGTTCCTGATGCACATATAGTTAATTGTAAGACTGCTCAAATTAAAATTACATATTGTTTCTAAATACAGCTTATATTTTTTTTTCTTTAGTACATATCTTTGTATCTCTCACCCACCCGCCCCCAATTGGAATGTTTCTTTTAAGTAAATTTGAAAAACATTTTGCAGTGTTTTAGGAACTTGTCATTATTGTATAAGATTGAAAACTGAACCATAAAAAGTAACCTACACAGAGGGAATAAATGAAACAAACAAGGCCAGATGTTTTGGGATACAAAAAGACCTTGGGTCTTTTTGTCTTGATTACTGTCTGTACAAGAGACAGGTAGAAGTTCTTCTCCCCTCAATTCAGTTATCTTCATCTACCCTTCTCTCAAAAATCAGGAACTCTGAATGAAATAAGCCGCAATGTAGACAAGCAAGTACATTCCATTAACTTCATTGCATGAACAGCAGTTTAGATCGAAGCTGTCATACTATTTCATAGACCCACCTTTTCCCTTTTTGCAAACAATTAGTAGTTTATATCCCTGTAAAATAAGGAAATGAAATTCTAACTCACATTAAAAGTGTATACTGAACAACGATGCAATTGTTGTTCTGAATAATTAGTGTAGCAAATGTTTTTGCTTTTATTACAGTGACAAATCTGTTTTTGCTTGAAGACGCAGAATGCTAGCTAGTAGAAACTGTGGGCATTGTTAGCTTCATTGGGTTTAGAAGAAAGCCTGCCTTTTTGCCCACTTCTTTATAAGCAGCAATGCAATGTGTCATTTTTTTTTCATCTTAGGAAATACTACACTGGTCTCTATCCAGAGCAGTAGCTCCATATACTACTAGCATCTGTTGACTTAGCTTTCCTCTAAAAGGAACTCTCAGTGACATAAAATACCCAGACAAGGAGACCGAATATCTCATATTCTTCAACCTTGTGTCACTTTCCCTTGTATAAATTATAATCACAAATCTGCGGAGAGGTTCAAAATATGAAATTCATGATTTATTTTTTTAGTTTTAATGGTACAAGTTGGTCATTTAAATCTATGTTACTCAGTTTATAATGTCTACTGTTTACATTTATAATTAACTTTACTGATGCAGCATTTAGTAAGGAGCCTAGCTTCTGTACAATATTTCCAGTATTGTTGTTCACTGGCTAAATTTCTTCTTCATTCTAGGTTTGAAAAAGGCATGATTTTAAAGAAAGCTCAGTTTTGTATAGTTAACCATTCTAGTAACATAAGCATTAATGGCTATTTTTCAATTGTAAGTATGAAATGCTTGTAATATAAATTAAATAACTATCTAGTGATTTTCAGGCTCGTTTTATTAAAAAAAATCATTCTGGGGAAAATCAGGACTTTACTGCTTGCTATGAGTCACCCTATACAGACGTCATTTGGAGATAGTGAGCAGGAAGCTGTGTTTTGAAATTTTACAGGCTTGGTTTCTTGAGAATCAAAAACAGCTTGGTGTCTCCCAGGAATACTAGCCAATGAAATGTCTTTCTTGATTCTTGGATTAACAACTTTCAATTTGTCAACTCTTTTTTTTTCCCACAGAGAAAAACCTATATATGACATTTTAAGCACAAGGTAATATGATGTTTCCTTGCTTAGCAATTCGAGTAACTTAAGAATTGTATAAGACTCGACTTGCTTCCTGTCCAGATGTTTCCCAGATGTCTGTGCTGTGCAGAAGTGCCCCAGTATGACTTAGAAGATCTTCTGCTCTTCACTTTTATTGTTTTCTCCCCCTCTCTTGTGACAAAACAGAATGCTTCCAAACTTTTCCTTTTGTAAAATGTTGTAAGCAATTGAAGGGGACATAATGAAAGCTTTTAGTCAAATGAGTGCAATGTACATTAAAAGAACTTCCAAGCACTTCTACTCACAGCTCTGTATCCATGGAGAGGAGGCATCTGGTACCGCCCACACAGTTGCTTCCAGAGCGCAAGAACATAAATTTGAGCTTTGGATAATGAGTACAGTATTTTAAAGATTGGGGTTTTTTGTTTGATTTGTTTTAATTTTGGGCTGGCATGGCTTCCCCAAATAAAGGACAAAAATCCTGAAAATTAAACACGATGTTGCATCCCTTAGAACTATAACCTCATGTAAGCAAAAGAAAGTAATACTGGCTTTATTTTAAAAGCGTAAGGAAAATGTAACTTTTCAGTAAGCCTTCATTCTGCCAATGACAATCGCTTAAGTATTAATATGGAGCTTAATAGCCCAGACATGGCAGTCTTTGGTCTATGTCAGTGATGGAAAAACTTTTAGACACCGAGTGCTCAAATTGCACATGTGCCCATGCCCAAACTGAAAGGTATGCATGCTCACGAGCGCACACATGCACAGACATGCATATGGACATGCGCACACATGCTCAGCAGAGACCCGGCTGGCCAGTGGGAGACAGGGCATCCCAATGCTGGCAACGCAGGAAGAGGTAAGATCTTTTTCTTTCGTGAGCTTTGCAAGGAAACAGAAGCTCACGAAAGAAATGCCATGGAGATCTGACCTGCGGCGATGGGGCGTGTCCTAGCAGAGAGGGCTCTGCATGCCACCTCTGGCATGTGTGCCATGGGTTCGCCATCACGGGTCTATCTGAAGGGAACGTATTCTTTAGTTGAGCTTGAATTCTTGTAATTATTACAAGAACATGTCTGTAATTCTCTTGGCAACAGGACAGGAGTGCTTTGCTACTGCATTTTTCTGGATTTATTATTTGACTTCTCAGTCTAGGCTACAAAATTAGCCCTAAGGTTTCCTAGATATTTCTTCTTTAAATATTCGCTAGGTCCGATCCTGTTTGATTTTTTTTATAGATCAGCCAAGATTAGCTACTTGATGCCATCTGTTTGATCCATCTGGCTCAATGCTAAATAGTGACCTATTTGATAATGCTGGCCCAGAGCTAAATATGGACAGTTTTGCTTTAAGTAAATAAATGGGCTGCAATATCATCTTTTCATATTGCAATTACTGGTCATGATTTTTTAACTGAGAAAACTAGATGAGGTATGTATATATATACATGTATCCATGTGATATAGCAAAGTATGCTTTTTGTCACTGCTAGATAGGGCCACCAAGATTGGTGTACAAAAGGCTTTTCATGGCTTGTTTCCTTATCCAACCAGCAGAGATGATGAGATGGAATAGCTCTGGGTTTGGGGTTCTTTAAATCATATCTTTGGTTTTGGATGAGGTGGTACTGCCTCAGACATGCCCAGTGCATAATATGAAGATTCTTCTGGACTCAACCACTTGTGCTCAAGGAGCAGATGGCAGTCATGACCAGGAGGACCTTTTGACAATTGCAACATGTGAGCGAGTTACACCCTTTCCTGGACCAACAATCCCTGCTCACAGTCACTCGTGCCCTAGACATCTCCTATTTTGACTATTACAAAGTGCACTACATGGGGCTGCCCTTGAAAAGTACCCAGAAGCTTCAATTGGTTCAAAATGTAGCATCCCACACGGTTTTGCACAGACCTAGGTGTGCACATGTGTCACATCTCCTGCATGAGCCGCGTTAGCTGCCAATCTGCGTCCAATTCAAGGTGCTGGTTTGTCAGCTTTAAAGTCCTACATAGCTTGTGACTAGGTTATTTGAAGGACTCTCTTCTCCCAATTACTTCTACTCAACCTATTAGGGCAGAGAGGCAAGGAATGCTGCGGTACATTAGTGGGACCAAGAAGAAAGGTCTTCTCTGCGGTGGCTCCTTTCTGTGGAACATTGTCCCCACAGACATAAGATTGGCCTCCACTTCGACCCTCTCTCACAAGGCCTCAGAGACCTGGTTTTGCCTTTGCACCCGGGGAACCCAAAGTGGGATGAAGCCCATCAAATAGCATATTGATTGATTGATTATTGTCAGGAGAGAGAGAGAGAGAGAGAGAATAGTATCACTGGAAAAGTTGTAAAGTCTCTAATGTCTTTAATGTAATTTCCTATGGACATGTGAGTTCTTGGGCATTCTATACATCAACATCTAATATTTACTCTTGTTTTCCAGCTTTCCACAACCATTTCCCTTTCTGGATTTCCACATAGGTTCATCTGCTTTGCCCTTTAGTTGCCATATCTTTCCATTTTCCATCTGGTTAAGAGAGCATGCCCCAAGCAGCTCAATGATTTGGATGAGGGAATAAATGGGGAACTCATCAAATTTGCAGATGACACCAAGCTGGCAGGAACAGCCAGCACTTCAGAAGACAGGCTAAACATACAGAAGGATTTGACAAACTTGAACATTGGGCACTATCTAATAAAATGAAATTCAATGGTGAAAGAGTGAGGTTTAGGCAATAGATTTAGGCAAGAAAAACGAAATGCACATGTACAGTATAGGTGGTACCTTGCTCAATAATAGTAACTGTGAGAGGGATCTTGGAGTCCTAGTGGACAACCATTTAAATATGAGCCAGCAGTGGGCAGCAGCTGCCAAAAAGCCAACACAGTTCTAGGCTGCATAAACAGAAGGATAGAATCAAGATCACATGAAGTGTTAATACCACTTTATAATGCCTTGGTAAGGCCACACTTTGAATACTGCATTCAGTTTTGGTCACCATGATGTAGAAAAGATGTGGAGACTCTAGAAAGAGTCCAGAGAAGAGCAACAAAGATGATTAGGGGACTGGAGACTAAAACATGAAGAATGGTTGCAGGAACTGGGTATGTCTAGTTTAATAGAAAGAAGGACTAGGGGAGACATGATAACAGTGTTCCAATATCTCAGTGGTTGCCACAAAGAAGAGGGAGTCAAACTATTCTCCAAAGCACCTAAGGGTAGAACAAGAAGCAATGGGTGGAAACTAATCAAGGAGAGAAGCAATTTAGAACTAAGGAGAAATTTCCTGACAGTTAGAACAATTTAGTCAGTGGAACAACTTGCCTCCAGAAGTTGTAAATGCCCCAACACTGGAAGTCTTTAAGAAGATGTTGGATAGTCATTTGTCTGAAACGGTATAGGGTTTCCTGCCTAGGCAGGGGGTTGGACTAGAAGACCTCCAAGGTCCCTTCCAACTCTGCTATTGTATTGTATAGCTCTATCTTCTTGTGCCGTTTTATGTAATTTGTCTTCATTGCCACTGTTTTATGATTTTCTGACAGCCACGCAATTGATTCAGCCATGATGAAACCCCTTTTCTTTCTTGTTTTCTACAGACAGGAGTTGCTAAGTACTTAAATAAAGTACTTAAATGAATAAAGCTAGGCAATTTCCAGATTCTGCACTGCAGCTAGTGTGTGCCCTTGGGCCAAAGAAATATAAACTAGACTGCTGTGAATAGAATCTGCCTTTTTATAAAATGCTGATACTGCTGTATGCCACCTGGAGTCCCTTTCATGCGGGAGATAGGCTACACAAACATGATAAATGCTTTTAAGAACCATTAGCCTGAACAGAAGATAGAACTAAGGGAAAGGCAATATGTGGCTTCTCAGTGGATTGCAACTTCCATGAGCCTCCTCTGTATCAGCCCAGCTGTTTAGAGATAAATGGGAATTAATTTGTGGATGCTACAATCTGGACAATCTGATACAGTTTTAGCTGATGCAGGGGTTTACCCACACATCATTAGATGTATGTTAGCCCATATTGTTTACATTCATTTGGCTCTTTCGGCAGCCTACATCACAAGTTAATGTCAGACTCTTGTACAGTCAAAGGACCCTACCCTGATTAAATAACATTTAAAGTTACTGGAAGTTTCCATAAATGGCATTTACACAACCACCCCTTTGCTGTACAATTAATTGTCTATGAAGAAATGGGGAACCAAGGTTTGTGTGCCCGCCTCTGCCCCACTGCTTTGTTCTAATGGAACAGGCAATTATATTCATGTGCTTCAGCTTTGAGGCGTGAATCATGGGGAAAACCTACACTATTGTTCTATGTTTAGAGCAATGCATGGTTCTTTTTTGTCATACATCAGCACAAGAAATAATTCTTGGTAGCAGTTACTCAATGTTGCGTGCACAATAAATATGATTGCCTAACTTGCTGGCTTATGCCAAACTTACTGCCATTGTTGTTTGTTCCTATCCCTTGAATGACAATGTTCAATATGGAATCCTGTAAGGGCTCCACTTTTTTGCTAGACGCTCACTTTGGATCACAAGAGAGAAAGTTTCATTAGTAGTAATAGGATAGGAAAGAATCTTGCATTTTTCTAAAATAAAGGACTGAGGAACCAGAATAGGGAATGCAAATGAAAGCATGAGGAGAAGGGGGTCTTTTCATTCCAAAAACATGTCCTTCTTTATGAAAGATGTTTTGTAACAAAATCAATGTGATCTCTGAAATGACAGGCCAACAATGAACAGTGCAGCCAGTCATCCATCATGAGGGCTGAAATGGCCTCATGTCAAATGGATTGAAGTGTGCTGGAATTGAGTCTCAGCTTTGTCATAAATTTCAAAAGTCTATTGTAAGATAATGTTTTTGACTTTTTTTGTTTTATATTACTGGGCTGTCATGAATAAATTGAATGTCAATTTAGAATTCCTCCCACATATCTTGTTACAAATAAGAGAAATTTGTCAGCTGGTATAAATATCAACGAAAGTATTGCCACAATTAATGAATATATCATTGTGCTATATGAAGTTGTAGCCTCCTAAATGTGTTGTTGACTTAATGGATCAGCTCTAATAGAAGTGGTTGCTCATCATCTTTCAGCCATGTTGGCAGGACCAGGGAATTGGATTCCCGGATCAACTTATTTTTTAGCTATTTCTGTATCCTATGATCATTTGTCATTCCCACGTGTGAAGAATGGATTATTAGGAGAAAATGTTCCCTAAATGGAGAAAACTAGAAAGTGAGAGGACCTAATATTTTTTCTGACATGCCAATTTTCTGTTGTGTGATGTCCGTTCTTTCCTATCTGGTTACACTGGCAACATAAGTGCTGGAGCCTGAATTCACTCTCTTTATCTACTGTATCTGAAAGGGCACTAATAGAAGTTTCCAAATTGGCCGGTACTCTTTGATCTGTGAGTTGACAAATTTTTGGCCTTGGTTTGACATCTTCTTTTATGGGTTTATAAATAGGTAGTGAAGTTGAACTGCACAATCACACTATCCTCCTCTGATATACAATCTTTGTAAATATGTGTAAGATGTCATCTCTATAGAAATTAGAATGTGAAAAGAAAAAATATTTGGGAAAAGGAGGAGGAAAATATATCCATCTTCTCTGGATATTATGTATAGAAATATCTGAATAAATACTACCTTCAGATGCAATGTTCCCCATCTTAGCATCTGCTGTAATGTTGCAAACATATTAACAGTAACACAGTTACTAGTATGTGCACTTTCTCTGCTTGTGTATAGAGCTTTGTCCTCTGTGCCAATCAGGGCAGAGCTAAATTCTCTTATTTGCTTCTTTATAGATCAATCTAGAAAACACCCATGATCCAAGCCACTGTGCTTTTAAAAAAAACAGTCCATCAGCAGCTATGATCCTCTTTTGGATGGCCAAGAATGAAGGTCTGAACATGACTTAGGCTGCTTTGTTATTGTTTTGTTTTCACTTTGCATTCTGCAGACAATACATTAACTTTGAAGGAAGTGACATAATTAAAAAAAAATACTATACGCTTAACAAGGTTTGTGTGCTTGTACATAAAGGAATGTTTCCAAACCTCACCTCCTTTCCTAAACTTGTTTCTGCATTTATTTCTGTTTGTTTATTTCATCTATGTTAAGAATCATATCGCCTCTTATGTGAGAATGGAAAGAACGCAGGAGCAAAGTGTTTAAAGGCAATGCACTGTTGAATGATCTCCCTATCATCTGCTTTGCTTCTTGATAACTGGCTGTACTCTAGATTGTTTTTTGTATGTCATGGATTGTTACTGGAGTAGAGCAATTCCTTTGAGATGGTATAGAATCGTAGAAAAGTCCCATATCTTTCTGCTTGTTTCCTGCTGATAATGTGCTTGATTCAGCTTTCCCAAGCAATGCAAATTTAATACAGAGCAGAGCAACATAAAGCAAAATTACTAACTCTGCTTTGTAATCCTGATGTCACTTCTTTATTAATCTAATCTACTAAAGTAGACTGCTGCATATAGGTGCATAAAAAGTCCTGCACTGAAGAGAACTTTTTCCTAGGATAACATCACTAACTCTTTCAATTTCTATAGCAACCCTTCTCAACCACTCTCATTTGTGAATTCCTTAATTTAGGATTTTACACATAGTGTTGTGGGTGCTTATCTGTGGTTTGCAGTCCTTTGCTTTCATTCAAGTTGGTTTTGTTCAATATAAAAATGTTGAATGTCCATAAGGGTGATATGTGTAGCCACCAAAATATTCACCCAGCATGCACTATCATTGTGTGATACATGATTATGAATTACTATTGGTAAAAGCAGCCAATTATGGATTATTCAGTAGATTATAATTAAATGATAATTTAGTATAAAATGTGTAGCCATAGGCTTATCATATTTTGCAAATTCCGTCTTCTGCAAATGGGATTACATAATACCATAACCCTGTTAAGAGTGAGTTGTGAAATATTTTCATACATGAAAGGTTTTGGGGTGTTTTTTTTTTCAGTACATCATGTAAACACATTACTATTGGGTCCCATTGTTTGGATCGTGACACAATCATCTCAAGGAAGCGTGTAGCAACATAAAATATGTGAACGGAATCCCTGCAATTGTGTGAGGGAGACACTAAAGAACATAATCTTTGGGGGAGGAGAAAGAAGAACTTAGGTTTGTATTAGCTAATTAACTTGTGTATTAACTTATTTTAAAAAGTTGATAAAAATAGGATTGCCAACATGATCACTGACGTCTGATGGCAGATATGGCACAAGAAGAAGAATTAACTAATAAGTTAATTTGCAAGATTTCCCGAGAGCAATGCACTGTATTTTATGATATGAAATATTCAAATAGCTTGAAATAATTTCAGGCTGATTTGTAGTACAAGAAATAATTGTCATTATTGGATCAATTTATTTGAGGATAAACGAAGGCAAATATACCTGTCCCAGGATAATGTTGCAGGATCCAATCTGGGTCAGTCACTGGAACCAGAGATTTTGTCTTCCAATCTTTCGGACTTGTGCTAGAGCCCACCCTCTCTCTCTTGTATTATGTACTTTTTTTTTTACAAGTAATGCAAAAGCAGCCATTACGTTGCATACTGTGCTTTGCTCACAGTGAAAAAGTGTAACCTAGTTTTTTGTTTTCTGCTGACATTAAATGGCAACTAAAATGCAAGTCCACCCATTGGAATCTTTTATTTGCAAGGCAAATTAAGACTTGGCTTCTCCAAGTTTCCTTCCATGGGCTTCTATATAACTCCCATATTGATTGGGGTTTATATATTAAGATTCCAGACTGGTTTTTTACTATTTAAGCTTTGCAGTCATAAAAAACAAACAAACCACGGAATCCTTGTGTCTATTTTTTCTGAAATTAGTTCAGTATAGATCCTTGGTTTAATCGTATGTTTCATTCCCCAACCATCACCAGTATAAGAGATATTTGGTGTGCACATTATTTGAAAGAAACGACTTAAAATATCTTATCAAGTGAATTGGCATTGCTAACTCAGGCAAACCTTATTACACTTTAAGAAATCACATGCTCACAGTTGTAAGATTTAAGAGCACTTTATTGTTCATTAAGGCTACTTTTAAGTACAAAAAAAAAGATGGCCTGCCAAACCTTTTTTAAAAATTGCCAGGTGAAACAAGGCCACAAAAGAATGATATGTTACAGATTTACAAACATGGAGAACATTGTTCAATCTGGACTGTAGATCCTGTGGCTCTGTGAAAAAAAACTTCATGTAAGAATGAGGTTAATATCCTTTCTCCTTCTCTTCCCCCTCCCGACCCTTTTGGCTTTTAAACAATAATTCTATTTTCTGTGGACTATTTTTTCCTCTCTTCCAAATGGTTTTGTGTATACACTACACATCACACTGAGAAGATAATCCTCAGTGCATTTACTTCAAAGAACGTTGCACTGCAATCAACACAAGTGTATGTCCCAAGTGTTGTGTGTTAGGACTGCAGTGATTACTTTACGCCCCATTTACTTATCACAGATAAGTAAATTTAACTTTGTAGTTTTGTGCTTCAAAGAAATGTCAAAAGGGTTCTGTATCCACAAAGTCCATCTGCAGTCATTAGTACTTGTTAGACCGCTCAGTAGCCTGTAGCAACAACACACTAGTGGCTATTAATTGCTAATGCAGTGTTCTTATAGAATAACTGTGTTCCTGCACTTTTACTGTATTACAGACGTCTACAACAAAAAAAAAAGATCAACTTTTTTCTCCAGACAAAAACAAAAGAGAATGATTACAATAAAGGAAAGGGAAAAATTAAATAGCTACACATCATTAACAAATTAATTGTTCCTCAAAAAAATACCTACAAATTTCTCTGTACATTCTTTACGCACAGCGTAATGATGGTCTTAAAGTTACCTATATAAAAAAGTTTTTTTTTTCTGCACTTTTCTCACAGGGGTCGGGTACGACTGAGCATTTAACTACCCATTAACATGACCGTAAAATGTGTGAAAGGGGCGATGAAGGAGGAGCTTCTCTTGTCTTTTTCTTGCTTTTAAAAGTAGGCAGCTACACTCTCTGTGGAACACAGGACAAAACAGATCCTTTGCTGATCTTTTCTAACTGTGGTTTTCATTTTTACAAAAATATAAATTCTGGCCTCAAGGCTATAAGGTAGCCCAAAGGACATCAAACTCACCTCAGACGTTTTGCCTTGTCCTATATGCTTTCAACAGCACCTGTCTTTTCAGGTAACCCACTATTAAATGGACTAGTTGTAACTGCTGGAATGTGCAGGGATTGTGGGTGAGTTGTGACATTAAAAAAGCAAACAACAGCTGAGCCCATTACTAATAAAAGAAGTCTGTTCTTTATGCCTGCCTCTATTACCTAGTTAGTGAGTATTAATACAGCAAATGAAATAAATGCAAGTAACAACTTTATAAAAAAAAGAGGAATGTATGGTGCCTTGGCCTAGGTTTATAAGCAGCCTCAAAAATTAGATTTCTGCAACTAGAGCGTACATGGATAAATATATTTCAGTTAAGTAAATTTGCATTGAGCAGTTGATTCTCCACATGAATATTGTGTCTTTTGTCACCAATGCCATAGGTAGCATCCTGAATCTCATAGCACTCAATGATATATAAACTGCTTCAGTTGAGGCCTGACCAGAGGCGACTGTCCAAGGTTGCTGGCTGCTACGAAAAGGAATATCAAATACAAGAATCAGAGTACAACTGTACCAGCAGTAAGTTTATCTAGGACTGTTAATGGGAAAAAAAACCCACCTAGTTTTCAACGAAGGCTAATATATTTCTTACTGTCTATACATTAATAGATACCAGCTATTTTTCCATAAAACATGCATCTTTTAAGCACTATTGAACCCTCTTACCTCAGCTCTATTCTAACAAACTGCCGTGTGGAAAAAAAAATGCCCATGATCTGTTGATTATGCAGTCCAGTTGCAAGCACGAAGCACCTAAAATCTACACCAAGAAGACCTGTAACCTGTATGAGACTTCCCCTTCCGAAACAAATGTTGCTTCTTGTTTTCAAGAGGCAGAGAACACCAGGCGCTTTTTGCTGAGCAGTTTGCCCTCAGAATAGAAGCATCCTGCCTAAATGTTGCTATGCAACCCTAACCTCCTCCAATAGTGCAAATCATACACAACAGTTCTTTTCAAGTATATACATACAAAATTACTTCACGAAGGGAGAAGAAAGTAATGGAGACAAAATCCAGACACAATTCTACCCTCAAGAAGCTAATCAAAGCATACAAGCATTTGGGTCAATCCACTGTACAGAATGGCTTTTTTTCTCTTCCCTACCCCCCATTTACTTGCGTCTACATTTCGTTTTCAGAAAAGGGTAGGGGCAGCAGAGTTGCATCAGAGGTTTCTTTGGTAACCGAGGCAGGAAAAGAAAGAGTGCTACATTATTTTAAAAAAAAAATTTTTTTTTTTTTAAAAAATCAAATAGTTCCTGCTATCAATTTTAAGGGCATGTGTATTTTTTTTTTTTAAAAAAAGACCCGAACACACACACAAAACATGTATTGAATTGTTATCTCCTTTTATATCATCCCTCCCAAACACTTTTCGTTTCGAGTACTGTTCAAGCTCAGCCAAAACAATACCGACTCGTGTTTGGATGAAGACATTGTGGTCCCGTGTTCATGAGACAACCGAAGGTGAATGATTATGATTGACCAGGTGGGAGGAAGGAGGAGAAGAGGACTGGCCCCTCCTGGAAGCAGACTCTGGACTATTGGACACACCATCCTTGGCAGCTTTGATCTGAAGCCAGGTATCTCCGAGAGCTTTGGCAAAGTGGTCGTCGACTGATCCTGTGATGGATACAGAGTTTGTCACTGGCTCTGGCTCCTTGTAATTCTTGCCAAGGCTTCTGCGGAAGTGTTCTTCTACCACTGGATCGCAGGTAGCAGTAGCTGTAGGGGAAATGCAGAAAATTTCTAAGAAACTGACAAGCTCCTGCTTTTCCGTATGACTAAAAAAAAAAAAAAAATCTCCTAATTCCCCTTGCAGCTGTTCTGCTTTTTAAGTACAACTGCAGTAAATTTATTTAACGTATGTACAATATGCATTAATAATATGTATAATTAAATAACACCATCAATTGCTGTTTCAATGGGAATGCTTTATTAGAATGCATTGTCCAGAATATTTTTCTATTATTTGTCTGCTCAGGCCCTCTAAATTACTCAAGAGAAAAAAAAACAAATGTATATGTTGTCATTTTAGATTACTATCTGAAAAAGCTAAAAACAGAATGTGCTCAAGCAGAACAACCTCCACTTGTATAGACTTCAACTCCCACAATTCCCTGGGCAGCAGGGCCATTGCTGAGAATCTTGGGAGGCATGTAAATAGGAGAAGGCTGTGAGAACATACAAGTGAATTACATTTCTGTAGATTGATGTATGTTGCCAAAACTGTTCCCATAAAAAATTGAAAAACTGAAAATCAGAAAATCATGTAAGTTTTAAGAAGGTTACAAAAAGGTTCTAAGAGATGTTGAAACTTCTAAAACTTTTATTTTAAAATGCACAATTCTTTTCTTTGTATTTCTTGTTCATTTTATTCTAGCCAAAGTAATAAAGGCATTTTATGTGTTGTCTTTTAGACTATTTTGGGGTGGCCAATTCCTCATTATGTTATCAAATATACACAAAGTCAAAGGAGGGGTTTGATTCAAATCTAAATTAGCTGCATTTAGATCCTATTAAAATCAGTGTGAAAAGTTGGTCACAAAATTAAGTTTACCATTGCTATAAAAGGGCTAATTGTTCTACCTCCTGAATCACAAGCAGCTGCTGGGAAATCACAATGAGGGAGGCCTATTAGTCTACTATCCATTCTGAGCTCCTCATGTGCATTTGGCTGGCCTGTGGCTGTTACTAAAGGCTAGACTAGCTTGGCCCTTGGAATAACCCCAGAGTGGCTTTTCTTTCAGGAACTCTTTCCAATTTCAGTTTCCAACTTTATTTCACTTCCCACAAATCCATTATTATATTAACCTTTCATCTCTTTATCCTACATAACTGTTTATAGTGAGCATTATTGAATTTAACAAAGTTAAGCTGTCTTTAAAAACACACAATATCAAATCAGTAAAAATCCAGTTATATGGATTTATACCTTACTGATTTTATTTATAGTTTTTGAATTTTATATATGGACAAAGATTATAAATAATCTTCCACTGGACAATCCAGAATTTCTTATTATATCAATAAATCTTAAAAGTTGAAGAGTTTAACAATTTCTCCTAATAAAAATAGGAATATCTTAGTGGGAGTTCTCCTTTAATACATACAGGTAATCCTCAAGACCCAACCATTCGTTTAGTAACTGTTCAAAGTTACAAGGACCCCCCAAAAAGTGACTTCTGACTTTTTTCCACACTTAAAAACAGTTGTAGTATCCTCATGGTCATGTGATCAAAATTCAGATCTTTATGGCAGTTGTCTTGTTATGGGGTCACATGATCAACTGACAAGCAAAGTCAATGGGGAAGTCAAATTCATTTAACAATCGTGTTAGTAACTTAAGAACGGCAGTGATTCACTTAACAGTTGCAGCAAGAAAGATCATGAAATGGGGGCAAAACTTGTTTAATAACTGTCTCACTTAGCAACAGAAATTTTGGGCTCAAGTGTGGTCATAAATCAAGGACTAACTCTAATTACATATTTAATTTGACTGCAGTAGAAGCATTCTCACCCTGCTTAAAAATATTTTTATTTCTGTAATTCATTTCATCTATTAATAATTATTTGATGACTGCATATCATGGATCTTGGAAAGAAAATTAAGGAGTGTTACTTACTGCTAGACGGCCTTCGGTAGCTCGTTGGCATAGCAGCCCCACTTCCACTGTGCACAACTGGACAATGAGAAAGGTTACAGTTTCGATTGCTTGCAGAAGCACATGTGATTACAGATGGACGGTTCTGAGGATAAAAGAAATCACGGAAATCATAGACAATTCCTCAAAGAGTTGCTTTTAATATGGCGGTTACAATTTTTTGCCAGAAATATTCCTTCACAAGGGCACCTGAAATAAATGTAGGCACCAATTCCCATCTTAATAGGAAACTCTGAAGGTCATTTCAAATAATCTAGGTACAGGAACTAAGGGGAACTATGTGGTTTGGGGAAGAAGCTCTTGGCTCTTCCAATCATTAAAATGCTAGAAGAAACTACTTGAATTAATATAGCAATCTCTTTTATAACTATTCAGATGTAACTGGTATGTTGGAATATATCATTTACTTTAGCTATGCATTATTATTATTTTTTAAATGATAATGATTTCTTACATCCAGGCATCATGTAAGCCATTATATATTATTAAAAGTTGAAAAACATAATAATATACCAAATTGCATACTACAAAATAAGACACAATCAGTCAATATTTAAATAGTTAATAACCAAAAGATCTTCAGTGTAATATCCAGTATTACATCCAGGGAGGAAATTATATTTAAGTACAATGAAATGATTTTTAAATTATGACCACTCCAAAAAACAATAGTAGGAATTATCAAGCAGTCCCAAAGTCATAAGTGGAAGCCTCTCCCTTCCTCCCTTCCTTGCCGATCATCAATGAACCAACTATGCTGAGGAAATACACTACGAAGAACAATAGCGGATGGATTGGAACATTGGATTATACTACATAACACACCAAATGGTAATATAACAGAAAAAACAGTGCCCAGGTCATAGCCCAGGAATAAAAGGTTGCAGTGAAAGTACAAAATGCCAAATGTTGCCTAATAACAATTATAAGACCAAAGGAACACTGATTTAGCTGAGTGAGAAGCTTTTTGAATTCAAGAATTATAATTTTGAATTTAATGCTAGTTTCTAAGTGGGGAATGGTAGCTATATGGTGTTTTTTTTTTCCTAAATCACAAAGGAGCATGTTGAGCAGAGGTGGGTTTCTGATGGTTCGGCCCGGATCGGGCAAACCAGTAGTAGCATAGGCGGGAGGCTCTGCCCACCCACCTGGACGCTTCTGCACATGCACAGAAGCGTTGCGCGCAAGCACACACACAAGCGAACTGGTAGTAAAATAAATTGAAACCCACCACTGATGTTGAGACATGAATGAGAAAGTCCCTACCGTCATCAGTGACTTCCTGACTTAGTAGCAGTTTTTTAAAAAAAATCCACCTAGAAAAACTGAAAAAAATAAGCGGGCAGATCTAGTTTAGGCGACAAGATAAAACTACAGAGATGTTCTTCAAGGGAGCAAAAGTAAAGGTAATGCAGGATAAGTGTTTACAAGCACATATGTGAACAGGGACTCATGCTATCCTCCAAATAAGCTAGAAAAGGCAGCTTGTCAGTTACAAAATACAATAGTGACAATAGCTCACATAACATTGGTTAAGAACTTATGTGTCTATATAAAAAAAATTGTGAGATTTGTGATGAATATTTTTCATGTGCCAACTTTTTTGTCCTTTAAAACGAGTGCCGTTTCCCTCATCTCTTGTCTGTTGGTTTAAAAAAAAGGAGATGATTCTAAGGCTTGTGTTATGGGTCCATTTTAAAATCCTTCAAAGTTACATTTAGTAGCCTCACGAGGAACTTGGGGAATTGCTAGTCGGCTCAAACTTTCATTCATATATGAAGTTCTAGAATTTCTGAAGTTGACTGCAATTTGAGGAAGGGAAGAGGGAAGGGGGATTTGGTCTTGAATGACATTCCTCCTTTTCCATGAATCAGTGGCCTTGTACATCTTGTAATGAACTCAAGGTAATGTTAAAAAAGAAAAAAAAAATAAAGGACATCTTTTCCCATCTATCTGCTCCGAAATTTCTAATTAAGGATTACTCTTCACTCAAGGGTACTTTTTTCTTCAAAAGGCAACGGGACTGTTGCCTGACGAAGAACAACAAAACATTTTGCTTCCCATCCAAAAAGCTTCATCAGTTCTGATGGCGGGGGAGGGGATGAAATGGAAGGATAGGTACTGGCAGTTGGGACTGGCCTGAATGAGGATACAATTGGTTGTGCAATCTTCTTGGAAATGCTGCAAGTACTGCATTGTAAACTGGAGACAGATGCTGTCTTATTCCTCCCCCTCTGTTGAGGAAAGGGTGTTCCATTCTAACATAGATGGATTCTTTTACCCTTCTTTCAAACCAATGGTCTGCTATCCAACCATGACCTGGATGACTGAGAATATCCATACCTTTCTTCACTAACAACTGATGGACCAGGAAACCTATTTCTGAACTGTTAACTCAATCCTTATCAAATATAGTTGCTGCAAAACACTTCAATTACTTAAAAAGGCAAGCATGTAAAAAAAAAAACCCAACTTCCTTCTCGGGTTCAAATTTTTTACAAATATTTTATATAGAATTTGTTTTGACCATTCAATCACTTTTCAAAAATTTTAATTTTTTTTTCAATATTTAACAACTGTTAAACATTGATTTCTTTTTTTTTGAAGAATGCTTTTTTGAACGTCATTTTGAAACTGGTAGACGAGAGCTTCTTTGCTTCCTTGTGAGTTTAGACAGCTGAGAAGAGGCCCTTTCCCAATGTATAGAAATATCTAGTATTCCTCAGTAGGGCTTGTTTTAAAACATTGCTCAAATAAATAAATATTTATTTATATAAGTTTCAAACAACCATATTTGAAAATTTTCATTCTGCCTCCAGCATTTAAGAGCCGAGGTGGTGCAGTGGTTAGAGTGCAGCACTTCAGGCTACTTCAGCTGACTGGAGTTCTGCAGTTCGGCTGTTCAAATCTCACCGGCTCAGGGTTGACTCAGCCTTCCATCCTTCCGAGGTGGGTAAAATGAGGACCCGGATTGTT